CCCGGTGTTCTGCAGTTTGTGTGGGCCTAATGTACTGTTGCACAGTTTATGCTGTAGAAACTATGTCCAGGACAAGTTGTTTGGAAGTTTTGGAAGATTCATAGCTAACCACACTGAAGATTATGGAGGTAAATTAATTCTCATATTTTTAAGCCTCAATTTGTCCTTCCCCCCTCTAACATCACCAGAAGTCATAATTTAGGGGGTCTTTTCTCAAAAAAAATTACCGGGGGAGCATCCCCCCGGACCCCCCTAGTATTGTTTGGTCACCATTTCCACAGCCCCACCTAAAATATTTTCCACCAGCCGCCACTGCTTCCGACTAAATCGCCAGAATGCCAACACCTCCTCATCTCCACCGCTCCCATGTTTTATTTTGTGTTGCCATAAGTAATTAATATACACCTTTATCAATTGCAACACTGAAGTGATGAACACATTAATGCATCAATCATTTTAATAAAAGGATTACAAAATATCTTGTGCTTTATAATGGAAATGCTGCATAACGAGTCACTTTACTTTTGGAACTTAAACTAGTTTTCAGTGCTAATCAGTGGCGGCCGGTGGTCTTTTTTTTCGAGAAATGACCCCTTAAATGATGACTTCTGGTGATGTTAGAGGGGGGGGGAAAGGAGAAATCGAGGCTTAAAAATATGAGAAGACTGATCAATACCTCCATAATCTTCAGTGTGGAAAATATTATTTATCAACCTGAACATCTACTACTTTACCAGGAATTTGTGTTCTCAGAACTGGTCTGTTTTTTTCTTTCTTAAAACTGTTCATGTTTTATGAACCAACACCTCCACCAAGTAGCTTTACAGTGAACTGCATGTGGGATATAAAATTAATAGCATCTTTTCAGTAGCATTAATTATAAATATTTAAGTGGTTCAATACAAGTCACTACAGCATTTCAAACTGAACTGTGAATAAATGCAATTTAAAAAAAATAACCACAGCACAAAATGTCATAAATTGTGTTTTTTCTTTGTTTCTCTGAGGATTATTTACAAACAGGCTTATTTACATATAGCAATAACTCAGAAATGAAAAAGCTACATCGTCTAACACGAACAACCAGTTAGCATAATGATAATATATGTGTTATGTACAATGTAACTGGCAAGGCTAGAGCAAGAAAGAACATAAAGTTTGCAAAAGGTTTAAATAACTTCAAGTATCTGTCTTCAGATTACGTGGAGGTTTTAGTCCGATGGGAAGCAGATTTTAAGCGACACCGAAGATAAACCAAAGATGTGGTGGAGCTGCAAACCGTGTAGTGTTGCTGGGACAGGACAGGAGCTATAACCGTTGGAAAATACATCACAGACAATGCAACAAACGTGGAGACAGAACAATCACTTCTGTGATAAATGCCCACTTATTAATAAACTTCTAACAACCATGGGAAACCTCCTCTCTACATATAAAGTGATATCCAAGCATGGGAAACAAAAGACAGCATTTACCTGTTTGCATCCAGCTAGCCAAGCCTTTTTTGTGTACCAGCTACTTGCGAAGCCTCGTGTATAAGTTTTGTCTTTTTCACGAGATTGCTGCGATATATTCAAATCGGGTTGGTCCGGTCCAAGGTCTTTAAGCAACAATTTATCTGCCAAACTTCTCCTTTCGAAAGGATTGGAGATTAGCTCTTGAACAGAATTAGGCGGGGACCGAGGTCCGGAGACTCCACCTGCACACGAAGCCATCCTCATCAACTACTGCGTCAACCGGATACGAGTCACTGTCCAAACTACTCACAGACTGCACGGGGCGCTGACATTGGCGCCCCGTGACCGTCATATTTGACGACGCTGATTGGCTGAAATTATGTTTTCGCGGCATAGTTTACACGTTACAGATAGCAACAGTCAGCTGCTAGTGGCTGCTGCTGCACTGGTTGAGGGCTCCTCTCTTAGCGCCCCAGACGAGAGAAGGTACACGGGCAAGGCCAGGCAGGTAACATGTGACTTATCAGTAACTTTAGACATCGTAACACAATTTTAAACGAGATTTTATTGTAGATTATACATTTTACTGATACCAATTATATAATATTTACCTTGTTCATATATATATTTTTTAAAATATATTTTTTATTTTTATTTTTATTTTTATTTTTATTTTTTAATATGGGAAGAGGTGGGGCGGCGCCCCTAGCGCCCCTATGGACCGGCCGCCACTGGTGCTAATAGTTATTTACTTAAGTATCATTTTGAATGGAGGACTTTAACTTTTACTTATGTCAATAATCCAAGTACTTCTTCCACCTCTGGGTACTAATGAACATTATGCATGTTTAAATAAATTCAGAAAAACATCAGATGTATTAATTGTGTGTTAGCTCTTTGCTACGGCAAAAGGCCACTTATTTTATTAGATGCACAGGAAATGAAAAAGAGATTAGTTTCCTCTTCTTTTTTTTAAGGTGTTGTTACACAGGATATCGTGTGCAGGTGGTGGGATTTTAGGGAATGCGTATTTTTTTTTTGTCAGAAACGAAACTGAAACAGTTCAAAATAAACATATAGGAGGAGAGACCGAGAGACAGATCACTCAGTGGATCGCGAGGAGAGAGAGACAAGGTAAAATGCAGCTTGACAGCTAATCTGAAGTAAAAGTACTCATAATGCAGATTTCATTTCAGAATAATATATCATATGTTTTGATTATAATTATTGATGCATTAAAGTGTTATGAAAGCTGGTAAAGGTGCAGCTAGTTTTAATAACTTTGTATACTGCAGGGTTGTGAATTTACTCCAGGTGTAACTAAAGTCTGATTTAAGTGTATATTATATTTCACATCATTTATCCACATCTGTAAAGAAGCTAAAGGTATTAAAAATGTTTAGTGAAGTTAAAGTACACCATTTACCTCTAAATTGTAGAGGAGTAGAAGTACAATTTAAAAACTCAAGTGCAACCTCAAAATCTTACTTAAGTAGCCTACACTTAAGTACATTCTTAGTTACTTCCACCACTGATCTTTTCGCCTAGGGCGCCATATCTGGGGGGGGGCGCTGCGCTGGCAGCTCTGGGAGTGAAAAACACCTTTTTGACTGTTGCCGCTTTGCCCGCTCATCCTAATTTTCGGCCTTGATGTACAATATTCATAATTAAGTAAATATAACCTTTTCACCCTGGTTACACTTTTCATTTGCCCTAGACGATGGGCGCTGTAAGTGATGAAAGTGGGGTATGTTGGCCCCCACTTTCATCACTTACAGCCAACACTGTTGGCTTATCAGGCGTCCGCGGCCAACACCCCACACTTTCATCACTTACAGCGCCCATCGCCTGATAAGCCAATGGCCAATGGCTTATCAGGCGATGGGCGCTGTAAGTGATGAAAGTGGGGGGTGTTGGCTTATCAGGCGTCCGCAGCTCACAGCCAAAGTGGGCGTGGGAGCGAGCGAGAGAGATAAATGCAATTTATGTAAACAAATATTTCCAAGGCACTCCTTTATAATTATTGGGATAAACAGGTTTGAAATAATTTCAATGTATACTATAGGACAGTAAACCAAAAATATCGTTTAAAACTGGAGAGATAAAAAAATATGCATAAATAAACATTAACTCTAGGTAAAATAAGATATGAATGAACAACAAAAATAAAATAACTTACATTTATTTGTTATTAGCTATGGTAGGTTGTTGGTTATGTTCATACACTTATTTGGTTATTAAAATGTAAACAGATCTTTTTCATATGGGTGTTTAGAGTTGTACCCCCTGGATCTAATCAATAGTAATTGTGTGCTCAAAGTGCACCAGATTGAAGCATTTTACTTTAAAATGTTCAAACATTTCTTTCCGGGGGGGGCATACCCCCAGACCCCCCTAGAGGATGGGACGTCCACACCCCAATTAAAACATGTTTATACAATACTGGGTCGCCAGCTAAAATCTCGCCTAGGGCAGCAAATTGGTTAGAACCGGCCCTGCTCTCTCGTCTGTGTGCGGGGGGCTGCTCGCTCACAGACACGCTGCAATTCTCTCTCTCTATCTCGCTCTCTCAATTCAATTCAATTCAATAGCTTGATTAGCATGACCATAGTTACATAACCAGGGGTTAAATTGGCTAAGCCCCGGCACATAGGACGATGCTCTGACGTCATCATCACCCTCGCACATTTCTCATATGTTTGTCATAAACGATATATGTTAAAACTTTTCTCGTTCTTATTAATATAGACTATATTTAGGCTCAATATGTGTTGACTTTACTTTAAAATAGCAGAGCTCTGTGACCGGATATAGTTTTTTTTCGGCTTAGTGAACGTGTGCCATTTAACCCCTGTATACAGTACAGTATTGCCAAAGCTCTGTATAGTTGTAACATCTATACACAAATACATACACAAACAAACTGCTAAGAATTTGAACAGCAAGAACATGTTTTTATTTGTGTTTTTTACAAGGAATACAGATTCATTTTAATTCATATAATACATTGCAGACTCAGTCTCTCTCTCTCTCTCTCTCTCTCTCTCTCTCTCTCTCTCTCTCTCTCTCTCTCTCTCTCTCTCTCTCTCTCTTTCTACATACTAATAGATAATTATCCCTTATATGCTGTATCTTCGCTATTTTAGATTACTTATACATGTTTTTTACAAGAATTAGTCAATTGAACACGAAGTACTGTAGAGTACCTCCAGAGGGCGACTAATCACTGTCTAATCTCAGTCCTACACATCTTTAATCACATCAATAATGACTTTTGGGGACTCATCTGGTGACAATTAAGATATTAAAATTGGGTTTTAATATCCCAATTTGGGGACATGTTCTTCAAATGTCCCCATAACAATTAAGAAATCTTTATTTACTTTCAATCTAAGGAAAAAGGTGATTTGCCTAAAATGCAAATAAGTGTTAATAAATACAAAGCAGAGGCCTCCTGTGGACTCTGAACATCTTGGGTGGCATGTGTTGCTTCTATGAGGAGCACGTCCTTTCCTAATGTCTGTGTGTGACCTCTACAGATGTCCAGCATGCAGGTTTGCCCAGCATGCGGATGGTCCAAAGTCACCACCTACCGGGGTCTGAGGATTCACCAGGGGAAGATGGGATGCATACCGAGGGGAATGGATATCCCTGAGAGGGAACAAATCGGATCACCAAATTACATTACATCTGTAAATGTATAGATTATGAGTTCCTATACATTATAAAAACGAATAAACTTTGACTTTTAGTAAAAAATAATGACAAACACGATGTCTTGGTTCAAACCACAATTACGAATTACACTATTGTGGACCGTGAGAATAATTATCATGTCAGCTTAGCTTTACATTGTTCCTGAAGATGTTGAGAAGCAATTGTTGCTTCTATAAATGTGGAGTAAGTGCTTTGTTTATGTGTGTGACCTCTAAAGATAACCAGCACATCAGACAAGAGCATGCAGATTTGCCACTGCGGATGGTCCAACGTCACCACCTACCGGGGATTCACCAGGGGAAGATGGGATGCGCATTGAAGGGAATGAGTATCCCTGAGAGTGAACAATTCAGATTCAAAGGTTACAAGTATACAAATGCTGACAGTGGACCTTCAATCAAAATAGACAAAACTTTGACTCCCCCCCAACACAGCAAAACTCATCAAAACACCAACAACGTTCGTAGAGCACTCGATTTCTCCACCGGTGCACAGCAGGTACAACAGGTCTCATTTTATTTTAATGTCCCGCTGGAGAGTACATCCTACCTGATTGATGGAGTTTAGAGAATTCCTTGTTGTAACGCTTATAAATGTACCTTCTTTAATAGATCCATTGCAGCCTGAAATGTATACTATCTTTGGGTCTAGCTTGCACTAAGTGCCTTCTTCCTTTAGGTGGAGCAGTTGTACTGGGAACTTCCAACAACTTCAATTGCCTTCCAATTAAAGGAGAGGGAGAGAGAAAGGGAGACGGAGAAGGAGATGGAGAAAGAGAGGGAGGCTCAAAAACTACAAAAGGTACTTAACTTTAAATTATACAATGTTTAATTGGATAAACCTAGCAGTGTGGCTCTATTTGTGACATGTTTGCCTATTGTTAGGTCTGTTGGTTCACCACTATGGTCTGGTCTTAAATATTTCAACTAGTCTCAAATGAAGCTCCATGAAATGTGGTACTGATATCCACGGTGCCCACAGGAAGAATCCTACAGCCTTTGGTAGAACTTTGACTTTTGATGTAATGCTATATCTGGTATATAAGAAGTGAAAGTAGTCAGTGTTTGAGCCGTGTATTCATATGAAAGCTGCTCAGTAGCTCAATTGTTTCAAACTCATAGGCTTCTAACCTTTGTTGTCACCCCCTACTGGCCATTTGAAAGAATACCTGTTTAAAGAATTTAGCATAGTCATCACTTTTCGTACCATGATATCAAGGATTACTGGTACCGTTTTTAAACATCTACAAGATGCATTGGCCAAATTGCTATTCAAGAAATGTCTGGTCACTAGATGTTATATCCTTGGGCCATCGGTGTTTCCCAGTTCCTATCTTCTAGTGCCACCAGCAGGTGCATATTTGTTGTTTTAAGGTATTGTACCGTGAGCTTCGGATGGGTTTAAGTTATGCTCCCCTCAGCTTTTATTGGCCTTATATAGCATTCTAATAAAAGTACTTTGTGTCTTTACTCAAGATGAGGCAGGACATAAGGGCTAATTTACAGCAGAAAATTCAGGCAAGAGAACAGAAGATTTCTAAAGTCACATCATCTGTAAAAGACTGCATGGTGAGCCGAAGCAGATTATTTACATTTTCTCCTTTCATTAAGGTTTTTTTCAACATCCTCATCATCCGTTACTCTTTTCAGGGCGGCTTGGATGCCGAATGGCTGGAGATCAACAGCGTTTTCTCAGAGGTGGTGAAAGTCGTGGAGGACTCTCGGCAGGAGGCCCTTCAACCTCTGGAGGAGAGGTGTGTGGCTCAGTAAATATCGCAGTGATTAATGACATTAACTGCACCAATGTTAAGGTCATCAATAAATGAAACTGCCTATTGTTACTGTATGTTATTTTTAGGATACAGAGAGTGAGTAGAGAAGGAAAAGATCTGGTCAAGAAGCTGCAGAATGAAATTGACAAAATCTTTAAGACCATTGATGAGTGGGAAGAAAATGGCGACTGGCAGGTAAGACATCCAAACTTTTGGCCTTTTTCTATCATTAAACAAGTCATTTGGCCTCTATAATGCTAGATGTCAGTATGCACGGACAATATCCAGATCCAGGGGACACTAAAAGATTTATACTGAGAATGTGACATTTATCCCACAGGGTCTTCCTAAAACAGGCCTGGATGAATCTCGAGATTGGAAAAATGTCACTGTTGACACTTCATTCTCCTTTGGGTCACTGAGAACTACAATATCGAGCATGATGGAACAAATTCACCAGGAACTGGAAAAACTCTCTTCTGTTGGTATGTTCTTGACATTAAACATGAAAACTCAAGCACCATTGCTTTCTTTATGTTTCGTAAAATAATAAAACAGGAATCATAGGGAACCAATCTGAATGAAGATGTTTTTCTTATTCTACAGGCGTTACTTTTAAAGCAAAAACCTATCCATTGCCTATTGCATATAATGCAGGGCTTCTCAAACTCCGGACCAAGGTCCGGATCCGGACCGAACTGCAAATCAATCCGGACCGAACCCTGTGTCCCATTATAAAAAATCAAAAAATTATTAAAAAAAAAAAAATTCTGATTCTGATAAATTAATGTACATCATCATGTACGCGAGTCTTGTGTCTGACGCGTTGTGAGAATGAACGTGCATATATATTTACTTGTGTGCACGATCGTGACACGCATAGCAGACCGCAAGTTAACCGCAAGTTTACCTTGACATATATGGGCTCAGAACAGTCTCATAATACACACATGCACACAGAAGGATTCACACTTGTATTTCATGATCCGCAAAAGGATTCACACTTGTATTTCATGATCCGCAAAAGGATTCACACTTGTATTTCCGGATCCACACTTGTGTTTTTCAATGCACACACAAATGTGTTCCGTTTCATATACATGTAAATAAAATCCAAATACAGAAAAAAGTTTTACATATGTATTTTTGATCCTCACATATTTGTTTTCCGTTTAAAACCGCTGCACCTACAAACACAAACCGCTTTCTGTGCATGGATCGCTGTGCATTCGTGTGTGGGTTTTTTGAGACTCCCCTGACGGTCACCCGATTCGTACTTGTAATTTTTCTATCTTTTGCCAATCAGATGTCTCCTTCATTCTAAGCCAATCACATGAGCGCGTCCCCACGAGGGTATGATTTATTGCGTTCATGACACTTCATATACGCATTTTGCACTGTCCGGAGCAGGGTTTCCGCGGACAGAATTTATTTTACCGGACAAATTTGAAACTTACCGGTCATGTTTCAATAATAATAATAAGATGAAGAAGAATTGTGTAGCAGAGTTTCCGTTAGCAGGTAATTACCGGACTATGACCGGATATGGCTAATAACACGGGAGTAACCTGGATCCTCTCTTTTTTCCTCTCTCCCTCCCTCTCTCCTGACAGCCCGTCAGTTTCTCATGCAGCTCGCTAAAACTTCACTCGCGTTTATGTCCATATCGATCAGATCCAGCTCTCCTGATCGGCCTTTATAGAGAGCACCGATCAAACTATTAAGAGTGAATATCGGCCGATAATGACCGGCGGGGCTCCCCCCGTTGACAGTTCACTGTCTAGCACTGGCTTCGTAGTGCACTGATCGATTAGGCTAAGCTAACCTGTAGCTGCTCCCTCCACACTCACAACAACTTCATACAGACATAAATAAAGCAGCTGTATTCGCCATACAGGAAACACATTTAAAACGGTTTTGCCTGCCGTTTTTGTGTACACAAGCATTCATTAATGGTTCGGAAAGAGGCACTGTACCTTAATAATATAAAGGCTTGTATTTGCGTGCATTTCCTGCTCGGAAAGTGGCAATGTACTGAGAGTGGAAGTGTCCTGAGATTAGCGCCTGCAGGCAGGCTCCATGGACCTGTCAGCTCCGGACAGCGCAAAATGCGTACATGAAGCGCTACGTCATGAACGCAAGAAATCTACCCTCGTGGGGGCGCGCTCATGTGATTGGCTTAGAATTGAGGAGACATCTGATTGGCTATAGATAGAACAAATTACAAGTATGAATCGGGTGACCGTCAGGGGAGTCTAAAAAAACCCACACACGAATGCACAGCGATCCATGCACAGAAAGCGGTTTGTGTTTGTAGGTGCAGCGGTTTTAAACGGAAAACAAATATGTGAGGATCAAAAATACATATGTAAAACTTTTTTTTGTATTTGTATTTTATTTACATGTATATGAAACGGAACACATTTGTGTGTGCATTGAAAAACACAAGTGTGGATCCGGAAATACAAGTGTGAATCTTTTTGCGGATCATGAAATACAAGTATGAATCCTTATGTGTGCATGTGTGTATTATGAGACTGTTCTGAGCCCATAGACATACTGTATGTATGTATTGAATGTGTGTGTGTATACAGGGGCGCCGTTTACCGACAGGCAAGGCAGGCAAGAACTTGGACCAGAAGGGGGCCCCCAAAGAAGGTAGATTAAGAAGGTCCACAGCAACGACAACATGAAACACCCTTTAATTTACTGCAACGACATGTGGGGAAACCCCCTCAAGGGGGCCCCATGCAGAGAACGCCAAGAAACTGCTTCTTAATTTCAGTTTCGTTTCTCCTCTCCACCAGTGACCTTGTATAAAGTTCACAACTGGACCTTTAATAAAAAAGTTTGTGTACCCCTGATATAATGTAATGTTTTTAAATCTAACACTATTTCTCTCTCCACAGAACTCAAGAGGATTCTCACCTTTGCAGGTGTGTGACCCAAAATATAAAGAGAAAATGGCAGTAATTAAACATTGAAACCTGGTCGAGGTTTGAAAGAAAACACGTCCAGGCACTCGCGAGAGGAGTGATAATATCCTATATAGATATTAAGCAGATCTGTCAAGGTTGAATTCAGTTTCATCAGCATTTGTTTGTTGAGAGCATTTCATGTCTGACCATGTCTGAGCATACCCCTCCATTTTTGGTAAAAACATTTTCCACAAACAAACTCTTTGCAGTCTTAAAGTTGGACTTTTTGATCACATAACTCTCCACTCACTAGAGGCATTATCTGAACCAGTGTTTTTTCTTGGGAGGACTTGTTCTATGAACAAGCTGTGACATTAAAGAGCCCATGTCATGCTTTTCCAGTTATTACCCGTCCCCTTGTGTGTTATGAAGGTTTTTATGCATGTAAACGGTCTGCAGAGTCAAAAACCCTCAAAGTACACCCTGTAGGGAGTAAAACTCTAACACAGAAAATACCTCCCCAAAACGCCTTGTTGGAGATTCGTCACTGATACGTCATTGTCCAATGTTTCTTCTGGGTACAGCTTAACGTCATGCGTTACCCGGAACCAAATGGACCAATCCGTGGAGCCGTTACGTTACGTCCGCAGAGCCGTTACGTTAAGCCCCCGCTGATTGGTCCAAATTGACCAATCCACGGATTTCCTCACACACAGGCAGCTCTGCTGATTTCTCCTCCCTGGCTGCAGGCTGATAACAGACAGTTGGGATCGTGGCGAAATTCTCTCTGCAGACCCATTCTCACAGCGTTTGTCAACCTTTTTCTTACTCAATATCAAGCCACACTTATTGTTTTTACTTCGGCTGTGAGTTTGTGTGTGCTCAGGATGAGTTTGGCTGTGTTTCGTTATGTATCCTAAACAAGGAAACAATACCTCCACGGAGCTCAGCGCGATTCACAACGTCCCGACCAATCAGAGCACACTGTGCTCACAGGGAGGGTGGGGGCTGGAGCTTTTGGAGCTACAATGAGCCGTTAAAGGCAGAGAGTGAAATTCAGTGAATACACGTAGTTTACAGAGATGCTGTATGAGAAACCAATGTGAGTTTGGAAAAATGCACAGTATAAATCTATTTTAGTATACCTCAACAATGGAATTATGATCAGTGGAAATGGCCATGACATGGGCCTTTAACAAAAAATATTTGGTCCTATTCGTAGAGCAATATTGTGGAAGTTATACATGTTAAAGCTTTATTCTTTTCAAACCTTCTTCTTAATATTTGCTTTCTTTATGAAGTAGTTATACTTTAATTTAACAAGTTAAAGTTAAAATCATCAGCATGTAGTTTGTGTCATCCATATGAAGTGCATGATGACCCTATTTCTATTTATCTCCTCGACCACAGTGGATGTAAGGCTGGACCCAACCACAGCCCACCAGTGCCTTGTGCTTCCCCCCGATGGAAAGACAGTTAGTGATGGAGGAAATTACCAAAAAGAAGGGTTACTGGGTAGTGTAACATCTATTTGCCGCCACTTTCTTTTTTTAGTCATGTCTTCAGTACCTGCTGTGTTTATTTATTTGGCCTGGGAATCTGAGATTGTTTACGATTAGTTATATGTGTTAAATAGTTTGAATTTAAACTTTTAAAATGATTACTGTGTGTACCTACATTATCCTTAATGATATTTTAATAATTTCCTAAGCCTTGAATAATCAGTAACAGTTTGTTCACTTCGGTCACTTCAAATGGGTTATAGGCTATCCCTTTCGGTATCAGTCTGCATTGTGGTCATCTCCTGCTAGCTGTCATAAATGGACTCTTCCAGTTTTCAGGTACATTTTTGAAGTTACACTTATTATATCTTGTTCGTTTCTAACTATACATTTTAACTGAATGGAGAATTTCTGTTATCAGACATGTGTATCTTAAGCTAACAGACACACTAAGCTAACATTAGCAGGAGCAGAATAGCAGAATAGCATCCAAAAAAAACAATTTTTAACTTCAAGCTACTTTAATCTGTGTTTCCATCGGTCATTATAACAAGGAATGTGTATTGTTTAGAGTAGGACACTGTGGAGTCTATTGTTATATAACATTAAAAGACGGATTCTTATTATTACAAGATATGCTTATTGTGCTCATGAGATGTTGCTATGACCAGGGCCGGCCCTAGACTTTTGGGGGCCCTCAGCGAGCTTTGGCTTGGGGGCCCCCCTCACTCTAGCGCGTTCTCACAACACGGAACCAACTTTTGTCTTATGATGTTAGCATAAGCACACATATTGTATAAATAAGCATGTAAACACCGTGGACCTAACATCCTCTAGGGGGGTCCTCACCTCCTCTAGGGGGGTCCGGGGGCATGCTCCCCCGGGAAGATATTTTTTTAAATATTGAAGTTAAAAGCATCAATCTGGTGCACTTTGAGAGCACAATTAAGAGATCTATGGATACATCTCTCAACACCCATATGAAACAGAACTGTAAACAGATTTTTCTCTATGGATATTTTACAAATCACTCCCCTTTTAAACTGTATTCTTGTTTTGTCATATAGTATTTCACAACTGTTTTTCATTTATTCTCTCTGGCTGTCCATCTCATAATGTTCACAGAAAAACTAGCTGTCAATAGGAATATAATTCAGAAGAATTATAATTTCATGCAAAAATCTGTCACAAAAAGAGGTTGCACATTTAAATTCAGGTGTTGTTATGGCAACGTCAGTGGCCAAACAGCCACATTTACTGCTGCAAATACGTTCAAACATGCTGTCGACACGTAAAGCAGTGGCAACTATGCCACCATTTCAGCTGACTTTTTCTCAGAAATACTGTCACATAACATCCATATATTTCAGTGGTTAGCTAAGCTAACTATGAAACACTTTAACTGACAGGACTCAGGATCAACTGTGTACTGTAAGGTAGCTTCGAGCTTCATGTCGAACAGTAAGTCAACATTTCCCACATAGCTTTCTTTGAAATCACCAGGTAACGCTAAAAAACATTACATTTAGATTGTATGACAAAGTGTTTATTTAATATACCTGGCTAGCTATAGCTACTTGCTAACGGTTTAGCTTACCCCCGCGATTCAAAGTAACGTCAACGTAGCTGTAATCTCTCCTGGCTCAAGTGCTGGCTCTGGGGTTGTTGTGTGAACCACCACTTGAGAATTGTCGTCTTTTTTAAGAACAAATGTTCTTATGTCCATCTTCAAAAACTCTGAGTCTGAGACTGACAGTTTATTTTAAACATTGTCACAGCTCACAGGATAGGTACCTGTCAGCCAATAAGACAGATGTTTATTTCCATTCAACTCTCTGGTTGGTCTGGTGCCTTGCCTCTGTTGCATTCACTGAACACGGGAAATTACAATCCTGCCGTCCTCTCTAGTGTCATGATGAGGTTCAGGTAAAGCACGGTTAATGTATTATATGATTGACTCAATCATATAATACATGACTTTGAGAGTAGGCAATCTAGGCATATTAACAAAATTAATTAAACATACTTATCACGGCGACGGTGTACTGAGATAAAAAACGGTTTACTGAGATAAAAAAAAAGAATTCCTTTATTTTTATTTTTTCAATTTTTGCTAGGGGGCCCTTAGTGGCTGCGGGGCCCTAAGCGGCCGCTTATGTCGCTTGATGGGTAGGGCCGGCTCTGGCTATGACTATGGAATAAATAGACACAATCACCAATCCCAGGTTCTGATGGGTTGGATACGAAACGAAGGGAAAAGTCATTGAAGAAAGTTTTAGCTTGTATTAGAAATGTAGCAAAAGCCAGGTGCAGACACTGAGACAAAGAGTTATTGAAAACAGGAGATCGCCCTGGCCTTGAACAGTGTGTGAGCTCCTCGCCTACGCATAACTGGGAACTAGTATAATGGAAGATTCCCAATATCTATTGCAAAGCAGCTTCAGCAAAACAAATTACGTAGGATAGCGACTAGAGTAAGGAGGGAACCTTCACACGCCGGCCGAATGCTGATTGGAGTTCGTGTTGCCAAGAGACTTTGTCTAAGTCTGTGCACCAACAAGGGAGGCCACAGTCTAAACCACGGTCCTCCCCATCTAGTCTCAACCAATCATAAATGTACAGGCGGAGGCCTGAATAATACAAATGTATGCACACACGAGGATCAATGCTTTTTTCCGGAAATAGAGTTACAGATTACAGCTCTGCTGCCTGTGATTTCTGGGACCGGACGGAGTCCTTGGCCAAGTGAAATATATCTTTTGCTCTCTTTTAATAAATAGTTAAACTTTGAAGTTGTTTGAAACTGCTATTGACATGTGCAGAAAATGACCTTATATCTAGTTTTCATATATATATGCATTTATTAATTTTTTCCCTAACTTCAATTTTTTTTTTTCCTAGTTTTTCTTTATTTCTTTGTACTCCTTAATTTCTATACGTTTTTGACGCAATAATGCCAATGTTATATTAGGATGATTCACGGGAGGGCAACTTCCCATAAGCTATATGCTTCAGCCCTCCCGCTTCTACTAATTTTGTTTATCTTTGTGTGTATGAATTATACTTTTTTCTTTTTTGGATGAATTAGTAGAATAAAAAAAAAAATAAATAAAAAAAAAAAAAATAAGTTGTTTGTCTTTCCTGGAATAGAAGAACACGACAATAGCGAATAGTTAATTCACATAAAAAATGTGCACCAATAGAGCTTGGATGAATGTGTAATCAATATCATAACTGATTACACAACAGCACAATGCATGACAAAAGTAGTTTTCTTTCATTATTACATCATTCTATAAACATTTTTTACTTCCTTCAGGAGAATAGTGTGTAGTTGCATTATTACTAAGATTCTCTTGTTTTTTCGTTGCCCTTTTTTTTCATTGCGGCTACATTTTTACGTGTAAACATTACCTGCTTTATCAGGTGTACCTGAGTTTATAAGTGTTCAGGAAATGACAGTCCAACAGGACAGCCCTCCTTTTACATTACATTACATTGCATTTATCTGACGCTTTTATCCAAAGCGACTTACAATAAGTGCATTCGAACAAGAAGATACAAACTAGAAGAAAACAGAACCATATAAGTAAATCACGTTTCATAGAGCCAAAATATTTCAAGTGCTACTCAACTAGCTTTAGATAAGCCAGTCCTATTAGTATATAAGTGCTTTGTTAGTAATTGTATTGTTCCTTCCCAGCACTGATAGGTGTGCCTATAAATAAACAAAATGTAACGAAATCTACCTATTATCATCTCTTCAGCTTAATATTTAACATGTTTATCATGTGTTGCTAATGCCCCCACCCTCATGCTAGCTGTTTCCCAGGGTTTACAGTCCTTGTGCTAAGCTAGGCTAACTGGCTGATGGTCATAGACATAATTAACAGACATGTGAGACAATGGTATTGATCTCCTTACCTAACTATCCACCAAAAAGCTAATAAGCATATTTCCGATGATGTCCACATTTTGTTTAAACAGATTAATTTAAATGTATTCCCTGTTGAAATGTTAAGCCCACTTTTCTTTAAAACAAGAATATTGAGCAAATAAAATATGAATAATTATTTCTACAGATCAGAAAACCTTGGAAACAACATCAAAAAAAGAACTGAACTTGATCCAGGGTGTACACAATAGCTTGTATTGTTTGAATGTGATTTATGTCTGGGTGAATGATGTGATTTGTGGATAATGCAGTGCAATCGTTCAGTGTTAAAATGTTTAATGTCTTTCCTTTTTTATATTCCTTTGGGCAAATTAATAAAACACTCTGCTTTTCTTTTGTTACTCTTTTCCCTCAAAACATTGATTATGAACCTTATGGAATTGAATAACTTTCAGTCTACCAGTCAATCTTGAGCCTCAGAGACTAAAACCGTTTACTTTTTCAAAGGCAAGTCCAATATTTGATCTGTTATTTGCACTTGCCAAACAGGGAACTCAGTGTTCAGCAGACGAACGGATGTTTTGGTTGCTCATTTTCACACCCACATGAGAGAAGGAAGTACTGTAGCTGGCAGAACCTTTAAACAGAAATGAAACTTAGCAGTAGAGTAAGGATGGCCAAGAGGAAGGACACACACACACACACACACACACACACACACACACACACACACACACACACACACACACCAGTTGGGAGTGGAGAGAGAAAGAGACAGACACCTACGAGATACACAGCATTTCAATAGCTGAAAGGTAATATCACACTCTACTACATCAAATTACTTTCTATTAATGGTTAGTTTTAAAGGTAGTACCAGAAAATGTTAGATTATCATGTTAAGGTTCTGTTAACCTTTTTACTGATACTACTATACAATGTCAAGCAGAGGTGTGGACTCGAGTCACATGGCTTGGACCAATTTGATGACTTTGGACTCGACTTGACAAAATCACAAAACACTTGCGACTCGACTTGGACTTGAACACCAATGACTCGGGACTTGACTTGGACTTGAGCCTTCTGACTTGAGGTGACTTGATAATTTAATTCAGGGGTCTCCAACACGCCGATCGCGAGCTGCCGGGAGAAGAGCACACTCCCGTCGGGGAGGAGAATCTTCAGCCGCTGCAACTCTTGCTGTGAATCCATTAGTGATGTGTCGGTCGCGAACGAGCCGATTCTTTTGAACGGCTCTTTGGTACGAACGAGGGGAACCGAGTCGTACTTGGTGAGAGCCGTTCTTTTTATCGTTCAATCGTTGGTCCGCACTCACTGCCTGCCAAAATCCACTCGCCTTTTAAAAAGCTTGATTTTGTTCCCCAAACGTATTCTGTGAAGACCCGCCCCTACTCTGATTGGTAGGTTTCAGCTCGAGGAGTGAGATGGGGTGGGTCTTAACGGAATACGCGAGGGAGAGAAGTCATAACAAGTGGAACAGGACAGGTAGACGACGTGTTTTTCGGATGGAAAATGAGCCAAACGCGAAAACGCAGCAGCATTTGGATGCACTTCACCCAAAACCCAGGCAGTGATAAAGCGCACCATTTGTAAAGGCAAAATATCCTTTAAAGCAGGGTCAACAAATAATCTCCATCGCCACTTAAAAACACAGTATCTAATATTAAGAGTTGCGTGAATTTCATTCAAGGCAAGGCAACTTTATTTACTTAACACATACAGAGGGTAAATTCAAAGTACATTCACTGACATGGATGACATGGATGTGGCGCCACCTTGTGTCATGTTTACAATGCAGATTAGGTCTGGCAATACAGTCAATCATTATCCTGGTGAGTATTTCACAGATAAACCTAGTAACCCCGCCCCCTTTAAAAAAACGGCTCTTTTGAACGGCTCTTTGAAAGGAACGGAGCCATAAGATCCGGCTCCCTTCAAAGAGCCATAATTCCCATCACTAGAATCCATGCAGGCAGGGGCGGGACTTTATTTTGCTGAGCCACCATGCGGCCAATCATATGCGAGGACACACTAGGATCATACCATTATGTGAAAGAAGGGTGGGGGGCAGATGCTCCAAAGACAGCAGGTGTAGTGGTACAGGCCAGCTACAGAGCCACGGGGAGCCGGATTTAAATGCAAGCGCGTCGGAAAAAGTCAAGAAATTTGCGGAAACCGAAAAAAGAAGCAGCATCTGGCTGCATTTCAATGATATTGGAGAAAGCAAAGCTGAGTGCAGGATTTGTAAAATGAAAATAGCCTTCAGAGCAGGGTTTTTTTTTGGTAACCACTCAGGATTTATTGCCAGAGGTGGGAGAAGTTCAGATCATGTACTTGAGTAAAAGTACCTGTGTGTAGGAATACTCGGTTACAATAAAAAGTCCTGCATTCAACATGTTACTCAAGTAAAAGTAGAAAAGTATTATCATCAAAATATACTTAAAGTACCACCTGCAGAGGGATGTAGATTCAGGTTTTTTTCTGCATAAAGACCGCCTCGCTGCACATTATCCCTTGCATAAAGATAGATTGTGGGTCCCTTATAACATGTTGTACACAGTGGAAATAAACATTCTGGTTACCTTAAAGGTGGGGTAGGTAAGTTTGAGAAACCGGCTCGAGATCGCTAGAATTTGAAAATACACAACCGGAGAAAATCTGCCACTTCCTTACAGAGCCCCTCCAACACACACAAACGCGCACATGACCAATGAGGGCACGAGATAAGTTTGTGCACAGATGGAAGGCTGACAGGCAGGTAGGCCATCCAGTTATTTTAGCCGGGCCGGCTAAAATGATTGGTCGTACTTTTTACAGTATTTCGGCTTCCACAGATGACATTTTTTAATGGATTTTTTGTCAAAGCACTTAAGATATTCATTGCTATCGGGATGTTAAGAGCATTCCATGGAATATAACAAAAAGTGTATCTCGAGCCGGTTTCTCAAACTTACCTACCCTACCTTTAATATCAGGGATCTTATACATTAAACTCCTTCTGAATCAAACCGTCACCGTAGCCTTACCTTACTGATCCCTCTTAAAATAGAAGAAAACACGTTACTTTACCAGCAGAGAGAAAATGGATTATTAAATGATTAATGTGACTAATAAAGAGCAGTTTGATTATTAAGTATTATTCTGTTGATGGGTGTCATTACATTTGTTGAAAAGCACATAATGACTTGTTTAAGACTCGTTTTGTCAAAGTTTAGGACTTGGACTTGACTTGAACTTGCCCATCCTGACTTGAGACTTGACTTGGACTTGAGCGCAAAGACTTGAGACTTGACTCGGACTTGAGCGCAAAGACTTGAGACTTGACTCGGACTTGCAAAACAATGACTTGGTCCCACCTCTGATGTCAAGCACTTGCAAAATTAAATTCCAGTGTGTTCACCTGCCGTGTTTTAGACAGGGTCTTATCTTACTGCAATAGTTTGTTCCGTAAGTCCGGATGCTTTTTGCTATTGTGATCTAACACGCCCACACACCCACACACATGAGGCTTATATACCTAGAGAGGGTGTCACCTGTAATACCTTTGAGGTACAATTAGAATGTTTTTGTATGTGTTCTTGCTGTTCAGAAAAGGAATGATGCTTACAATAATTAGTTATAACAAAGATACGACAGCATGCAACAGAGTTAAACTGCAGTGGTGTCGATATTGGAATTAATCAAAAGCTATAGTGGCTTTTCTAAAAATGTTTTGTAGATCTTTTGCTCAATAATAAAACCCTCCCGCTATAATATTTCAAAATCTCAACGGATCAGCAGGAAATTATACATACCATACCAAGGATTAAAAAGTAGGTAAATGGTAGAGTAATGCTCCTTTTGAGGTTCATATGCGTGTTAAATCTCTTTGAGTTAATTAGTAGCTTTTATTAAGCCAAGACTTATAGAATAAATCAAGAACAAACATGTTAAATATAGAGCAAATAGCAAATGTTCCTTTTACAAATGAAAAGTTGCTCAATCCCATTCACTTTAGTACTAACAGGTATACGGGGTGTGGTTAATGCAAGCTATATAGGCCTGATTTGACTATAAGTGCCTGGAAAATTAGATGCAAATACTATGAAGTTACTCTTATAATAATAATAATACATTTTATTTGGGGGGCGCCTTTCACAGCACCCAAGGACTACTTACAGGGCATAGAGTAATATAGGGAAATATTAAAACAGTGGATTTAATGAAATGTCAGCCGGGGTAAAACAAGACAAACAACAGGAAATGGACTACAAAAGGACACAAAAGGACACAGGGTGCAGTTAATAATGAGAATGCCAGTTTGAACAGGTGGGTTTTGAGTTTGGTTTTGAATGTTGTTATGGAATCAGACTGTCGGATATGTAGTGGCAGGGAGTTCCAGAGTTTGGGAGCCGAGCAGCTGAAAGCTCGAGCACCCATGGTGCTGAGGCGAGAGCTTGGGATGGTGAGAAGTCCTACGGACGAAGAGCGGAGGGTGCGGGAGGGGGTGTACTCCTGAAGGAGGTCGGTGATGTAGATGGGGGCAAGGTTGTGGAGAGCTTTATATGTAAGTAGAAGGTTTTTGTATTCAATACGGTAGCGTACAGGAAGCCAGTGTAGTTGAGTGAGAATGGGGGTGATGTGGACTTATCTCCATGTATGCTATGGTTTTGCATGTATGATTATCCTGTCATCTGGCAACAATACCCAATGTTGGATAAAATGTACACACCTCTCTTTGCCTTAAGTTATTAATTATTCAAGGTATGAGGACGAAGCAAAAAAAAGATTCCAACAACTAAATAATGAAGTGAGATTTATTATACTTATAATAACTTCTTGATTTTGTCTTTAAGCAGATATGGCCTCCGCTGCAGCATCACCTACCCCCTCACTGGAGAAGCAATTGCAATGCTCCATCTGCCTAGATCTATTTGAGGATCCCGTCACTACAGCGTGTGGCCACTCTTTTTGTAAGAAATGTTTGCAACGTAACTTTAGCCTCAATGTTCAAGCGTGCCCACTATGCAAGCAGCATCTGATGAAAACCCCAGAGTCGAACATTGTCCTGAGAACCATTGTCGAGCAGGTGAAAAAGATCCCGGAGGAAGACGTTGAGAAGTACACCGGAGCGCCCGGCGAAGTGGCCTGTGACATTTGCACAGAACGAAAGCTCAAGGCTACGAAGTCCTGCCTTGTGTGCCTTGCGTCGTATTGTTCGACCCACCTTGAGAATCATTCTTCAACTGAAAGGTTGAAGGGCCACAAGTTGGTGCATCCTGTCGAGAACCTGGATGAGAGGGCCTGTCTGAAGCATGGACGGCCCTTGGAGCTGTACAGCAGAAAGAGGGAGAAATGCATTTGTGTACGCTGTTTGGAAGAAGATCAGGAGGAGGTTGTGTCTACTGAACACGAATGGGACCAGAAGAAGGTGAATTTAAAGTCTTGACAGCGCTGTATTTTAGCTTGAATCCATGTTGTGCAAATCAATATTCAAACACACTTTAAGAAGGTACACAAAGGCAGGGTTTGCTGAGGTATTGACTTGCTTTTTTGTATTTACTACAGGTCAAGCTTGAAAACACAAAGGCAGACTTGCAAGAGAAGATTAAGAAGAGAAAAACACGAGTGAATGAGACTAATACATCTCTTAAGAGCTGCAAGGTAAGCTGCAAGAGAGACAAATGTTAGCTTCCTTGTGTTAACTTGGATTGAAAACCAATCAGACCAGTCTTCAAAACTGGCTGAGCAAGTTCCCAAACAGTGACATTTAAGCGGAAACTTAGTGTTATGTTGCAAATTAAAATGCTGGTACTTGGGCCAGTTGCTAGACATCTTTACCTTTATATACAGCTTACCCATCTAGGCTATTGGGACAGATCTAAAACACCCAACCTGTGCCAGAATTGCTCTCTCCAGATTTAGTTAAACTGTGACCAGTGTTGAAGCAATCCAAATAAGTTTTAACCCTAACCCTGAATCATTTCAGGACCAAATGGAGAATGAGTGGTGGGATATTGACGGTGTGTTCCTAGCTGTGATTGCCATTGTGGAGGAAGCCCAAGCTGCGGCTCTTAAGCCACTAAAGGACAGACGGGAGGTTGTGGAGAAAGATGCAGAATACATCAGAGAGAAGTTGGAAAAAGAGATTAGAGAACTTGAGAAAGCGGTCTCTGAGCTGGACGATATATCTGCGCTTGAGGATCACATCCTTTTCCTTCAGGTGAGAGGAATGGACCTTGTTTGTGTAATACAGTGGGGTCATTTGTTTACTTATGAGGAGCTACAACTACAGTCCAGCTATGTGGCTTGTATGATTTGATCTTATTCTCTGTATGTCTGTTGGTAAATCCCAACATTCTTCCTCTTCCTTTGTCTCAGAGTTACCCATCTCTTCAAGACTTGGACTTCAAAGACTCGACGAAGGTAGAGCTTGACACATCAGTGTCTTTTGGCACCATGAGAAAGACCACCATAGCCATGTTGGAACAAGTTCAACAGCAACTGGACAAGCTGACCTCCATTGGTAAAAGTTTAAATCATGATCATGAATGTTAAAATCTAAAATGTTGACTAAATTGATCTAAAACGGTTTATTTACTTCACAGAACTTAAGAGAGTTCCAAAGTTTACAGGTAAGGGATTTGATCAGCTTTTTCCTGACAATACCTTTACAATAATACACTTCTGTGATCAGATCTTTCAATGAACTCCAATTTGTTGTTAACAGTGGATGTAAAGCTGGATCCAGCCACCGCGCACCGACACCTTGTTCTTTCTGATGATGGGAAGGAAGTGAAAGATGATGGGGAGGAACAGGAAGTGGATGATGCTCCGGAGAGGTTTGATATTTTCGGCAGCATCCTGGGGCTCAACAGGTTGACCTCTGGGAAGTCTTTCTGGGAGGTCGAGGTCACCAACAAGTCGGGGTGGGACCTCGGTGTGGCAAGGGGCGATGCAAACCGCAAGGGAGAACTCCTGCTGAACCCAGAAAACGGTTACTGGGTCACGGTACATTACGAGGATGATAAGTACGCAGCCCTGACAGCGCCGCCAGTTCGTCTTTCACTGGAAAAGAAACCTGAGAAAGTTGGGGTGTTCGTTGACTACGAGAAAGGTCTTGTGTCCTTCTACGATATCAAGGCCCAATCTCACATCCACTCATTTACTGAGTGTTCGTTCGGTGACGAGCTCTTCCCATATTTCAGTCCTCATGTAAAACACGACGAGAACAACTCTGGTCCTTTGATAATTTCTCCTGTGAAACATTGTGAGAAGGATGTCAATGAAGTGAAGAAAGTGCAAGACTAGCAGTTCAAATGTTGTGTGTTTCTGGGAGTTTGGTAAGTCCTGCCCATTGAAGCTTGATGAATTTTCAAAAATTAATCAATAGCAGAGTTGTGAAGAATCTGTAGGATTCGAATTTATAAAATGGTTTGTGAAATTGTAGGTGGAACTATAAATGATGAGTCAGCAACACAGTGTGCTGAAAACAAGCCTTTGGGAATAGTAATGCAATATTAGGGGATGCTAGTTCAGCTACATTTCCCATTAGCATTAGGGTAGCGTAGTAGGTGGTGGTGTAATTGAAAGAGAGTGTCTTTATTTTCTATATTCATGTTTTTCATACTTTATTATATACAACCTTCAACAAAGCTGTAGCTTAATACCAGTAGCTTGGCTTTATGAGCTACTGAATGGGGACATGTTCATATACAGCCATTATACAGGCTAAATGCATACAAAGGTTTAACACTGTTGTATGACCAAATTGGTATAAATTATAGTTTAAGAGTTATTCAACTTAATTACAAACAATGATATCTTCTTTTTGTATTTACTTTCTTTAATTGGGTGGAGGGGGGGGTTATTTTACTGGGCAGGAAATGTCAAGTCTGTGTCTTCATACAATGTACCCTGAATATTTACAACATATACTGTAATAACATATTTTGGAATTATTACATAAATAAAAAATCAACTATTGATAACAAATCAAGTTTCTATTTTAATTGTTTGTACTTTCAGTCAAATTTTCAATGCAAGTACTGTACTTAAGTAAAACATGTAGTTACTTTTACACAACTTGATTATTTTCATGTTATGCTACTTTGAATCCACTACACTTAGTAGGCCAGTTTTTACTTTTGACTCCACAACATCTCTTTTACATATGTAGTTACTATTAAAGTTGCCGATTGAGGTTATTAATACAACATGTAAAACAACACACATTGGAATATCTTATAGTTAAGCTACCCAGTAGTGTAACAGTTAATTCATATACACCTTTACCAACAGCAACACTGAAGTGATGAACACATTAATGCATCAATCATTTTAATACAATTATTTTTAAATATCTGGTGCTTTATAATGGCTATTTTGCATAACGAGTCATTTTACTTTTGGAACTTAAAGTAGTTTTCAATGCTAATAGTTATTTACTTAAGTATCATTTTGAATGGAGGACTTTAACTTTTACTTATGTCAATAATCTAAGTACTTCTTCCACCTCTGGGTACTAATGAACATTATACATGTTTAAATAACTTCAGAAAAACATCAGATGTATTAATTGTGTGTTAGCTCTTTGCTACGGCAAAAGGCCACTTATTTTAGATGCACAGGAAATGAAAAAGAGATTCGTTTCCTCTTCTTTCTTTTTTTTAAGGTGTTGTTACACAGGATATCGTGTGCAGGTGGGGTGATTTTAGGGAACGCGTCAGTAGTTGTTTTTTGTCAGAAACGAAACTGAAACTCTTCAGAATGAACATATAGCAGGAGAGACCGAGAGACAGATCATTGAGAGGATCGCGAGGAGAGAGAGACAAGGTAAAATGCAGTTTGACAGCTAATCTGAAGTAAAAGTACTCATAATGCAGATTTCATTTCAGAATAATATATATGATATGTTTTTTGATTATAATTATTGATGCATTAAAGTGTTATGAAAGCTGGTAAAGGTGCAGGCAGCTAGTTTTAATGAGTTTGTATACTGCAGGGTAGCTTGTGAATTAACTCCAGGTGGAAATAAAGTCGGAATTTAAGAGTCGGATTTCACATCATTCATCAAAATCTGTAAAGTAGCTAAAAGTATTTAGTGGAGTCAAAGTACACCATTTACCTCTAAATGGTAGAGGAGGAGAAGTACAATTTAAGTACAACTTCAAAATCTTACTATAGGATACAGTACTTAAGTACATTCTCAGTGTGAGCTATAGCATCTACAGCTGTTTATGTTGTATTACACTCTATGAATACCGTGCAAACAAACTAATAGTAGACTTTGAATGAGACAGGGCAGCAATGCAAATATGCTGTGGGCCAAGTTTCAGGGCGTGTGCAAACACTGCAATAAACACAGATGGGAGTGTGTGGAAAATATAAATGTTCAATGGGCTGTTCTTAAGATGTCAAAGAGATGTAAATATTTGTTTTTATTTCCAAGTTTGTTCAAACTTATCTTACACAGATAGCAGCATTTTTTAAGATAACAACAGTTACAATGTATATAAGAAATTATTATTCAATAGATAAATGATAAATGATGACTAATAACAAATGTTTTTCTCATTATATAACCTGTCTTTGATATATCTTCTATCTTGAAGTGTTCATATTTGTATTTATTTACTTACTCACTAATTGATCTATCCCTATTTTAAATTGTGTACTGGTTTAACATAATGCTCAGTTACATTTATTATACATACTAGTAAATAATTATCCCTTATGCTGTATCTACGCTATTTTAGTTTACTTCTACATGTTTTTTTTTCTATTTAATTAGCAAGAGGAAGTAGTCAATTCAACACGAAGTACTGCAGAGTACCATTAGAGGGCGACTGATACCTGTTTTACCTCAGTCATACACATCCAGCTTGCAAACATCAGAGTCTTTAATCACATCAAAAAGGACTTTTGGGGACTCATCAGGTGACCATTAAGATCTTAAAATTGGGTTTTTATTTATTCTCCAAATGTCCACATTAAAATTAAGCATTGACACAAAACAAAAGTTGAAATCTGTACTTACTTCAAAGTCAAAGTCAACTTTATTGTCAATCTCAAAATATGTTTGTACACACAGAAAGATCCCACAGTCCCGAGGTATAAAATGAAATGAAATAAAATAAAATAAAGGATATACAATATGTATATAAAATATGTATACATTACTATATCCCAACTTATTTACATAAATAGCAGCGTAAAAAGTGACAGGTGCTGGATGTGGGGGGGGTGTTAAATTCCCGGTCCAGATGGGGCAGGGTGGAGAGGTGAGATAGAGGGGAGAGAGGGGAGAGGTGGAAGGGGGAGGGGGGGGGGGGGGGAGTTTAGCCTCCTGACAGCCTGGTGGACGAAGCTGTTTTTCAGTCTGGTTGTGCTCGACCTCAGGCTGCGGAAGGAGGCAGGAGGGTGAAGAGGCAGGTGGAGGGACTTTCAATTTGAGGAAAATGTATGATGAATACAATCATGCACCTCTGAGCCTCCTGTACACACAGAACATATTGGGTCGCATGTGTTGCTTCTATGTGGAGCACGTCCTCTTCTAATGTTTGTGTGTGACCTCTACAGATGCCCAACACATCAGACAAGAGCATGCAGGTTTGCTACTGCGGATGGTCCAAAGTCACCACCTACCAGGGTCTGAGGACTCACCAGGGGAAGATGGGATGCACACCGATGGGAATGAGTATCCCTGAGAGTGACCAATTCAGATTAACAAGATACACGTTTGCTAACATTGGACCGTCAATCCAAATAGAAGAACCTCTGAAAGATATCTTCGGCCCTTATCTAGAGATCGGTGAGTGTTACAGCTTCTTAGTTATAACTGATGTCTTTCATTAAACTGCTGCAGATAAGGGTCAAATGTAGAAAATATGAAGAGTGACAGTAACGGTTAAGAGCTCTCTCCCAAACATGGATGGTTGTCTTCCACAGAAATAACTTTTTCTAGAAAAATATGGGTTTTCTTATTATGTTTTTCAGATCATCAACAGTTCACCTGGAGAAATGCCGCCTTGGAAGAATCCCGTCACAACGACAGCGGACCAAATAACAGGGTTACTCCAGTCTGGGAGGTATATTCAAGCAAAAATACATTACTTACATGTTCACACACATATTTGTTTTAAATGTTAGTTTTTATTGTTGTGAATTCTTCCACAACACTGGCCCCTTGATTTGCTCTACATTGACAACTAGTTTTCTACCGTCAAAAAATATTTCAATCTTTTTTGTATGTCCTGGTGGCGTGTCATTTACAGCAGGAAGTAGTCAAGACCCCACACAAAATACTCTAGAGTACCCCTAGAGGGCGACTACTCCCTGCCTAAATTCTACAAATCAATGCTTCAAACCGCACAGACCAACATCAAAAAAATAATCAAACAAATACAACGAAAACAATTACTTGGTCTTACTGAATTGAGGAATTTTCATGGCAATAGTTTCACAGAACATATTGAGAAGAAATTGTTGCTTTTACAAATGTGTTAGTGCTTTAAATGTGTGTGTGACTTCTACAGATACCCCAAACATCAGATGAGAACCTCCTGGTTACGACCTACCAGGGTCTGAGGACTCAACAGGGGATGATGGGATGCACACAGAGGGGATATAGTATCCCTCAGAGTGACCAGTTAAGATTAACAAGTTCCCTTCATACATTCGCTAACGTTGGACCTTCAACCTTCGAGCCTCTGAAGTTTGGTGAGTGATAAACAGCTGATTATATTTTTTAAATAGTATGTTTTAACTCATTCAATGTCTGCAAATGATGCATGAGGGCAATTTCAAGCTCTTAAAACTGAATTTACAAAACAAATCTATTCCCAGAGAGTAAACAGATTACTTGGGGAAGTCCCCTGGAAGAATCTCCTCAACAGGATGGCGGACCAAGTAACTCCATTGCTTCAGCAAGGGGAAAGGTATATTCAAGTGAAAATATATAGATAAAATGTATTAAATATATCCATGAAGGAAGAAACCCTAACCCTAACCCATTATAAAATGACAGAATGTACCTGTTGCTTCAAACTTCACCACCCAGACGGCCCCTCCAGCTGCAGAAGCCACACTGAACGACACAAATCAATTATGTATGCATTCATCTTTGTACTTTATCATAGCTGGAAGTTAGGCTATGCAGCTGGTTTTAACAGTAAACCATCCTCCTTTCCTACAGTTGTTACAGCTCAACAGAACTCTCAGCAGACGGCCACAAACTCTGACAAAACTCATCAAGGGCGCTATTTCTCCATTGGTGCACAGGTACAATACATTCCTGTGAAACAGTTCAAAGTGTCGCTTAAATTATATTTTTTGGGGAAAGGTTGGAAAAGCTTCAGTTCAAATCATAAAAGCTTATTTTCCATTTTTCTCTGACAGCCTTCACTGTACCCCATGTCACAGATGTTTGGTACCCCAACCACTCCTGCAGCAGCAGAAGTCCCAGGTAAGGCCACAAACAAATCATATGCATCATCATTATAGTATATTTCTAACTGGATTAACACAATGCAGATGTGTTTAACCCTAACCCATCCTCTTTCCACAATTTCTACAGTTATGAAAACTCAGCAAAGCTCTCTTCAAAACACCACAAACTCTGACAAAACTCATCAAGCATTCAATCTCTCCATTGGTGCACAGGTACAATACATTCCTGTAAAACAGTTTAAAGTGTTGCTTAAATTATATTTGTTTGGGAAAGGTTGAAAAAGCTTCAGTTCAAATCATAAAATCTTATTTTCCATTTTTCTCTGACAGCCTTCACTGTACACCATGTCACAGATGTTTGGTACCCCAACCACTCCTGCAGCTGCAGGAATCACAGTCAATGACACAAACAAATCATGTATGCATTATCAAGTTTGTATATTTGTAACTTTATTTGACAAAATGCAGCTGTATTTAACAGTGACCCATCCTCTTCTCCTACAGTTGTTACAACTCAGCAGAACTTCCAGCAAACAGCCACAAACTCTGACATAACTCGTCCAGCTTTCAATTTCTCCAGTGGTGCACAGGTACAATACATTCCTGTTAAACAGGTTCAAGTGTCAAAAACATTTTTTTTTTTTACGGAAAAAGTTAGAAAAGCTATATAGATATAATCGTATTTCCCACTTTCCTCTGACAGCCTTCAGTGCCCCCAATGCCACAGATGTTTGGAACCCCAACCACTCCTGCAGCTGCAGGAATCACAGTCAATGACACAAACAAATCATGTATGCATTATCAAGTTTGTATATTTGTAACTTTATTTGACAAAATGCAGCTGTATTTAACAGTGACCCATCCTCTTCTCCTACAGTTGTTACAACTCAGCAGAACTTCCAGCAAACAGCCACAAACTCTGACATAACTCGTCCAGCTTTCAATTTCTCCAGTGGTGCACAGGTACAATACATTCCTGTTACACAGGTTCAAGTGTCAAAAACATTTTTTTTTTTACAGAATAACTTTGAAAAGCTATATAGATATAATCGTATTTCCCACTTTCGTCTGACAGCCTTCAGTGCTCCCAATCTCACAGATGTTTGGTACCCCAACCATTCCTGCAGCAGCAGAAGTCCCAGGTAAGGCCACAAACAAATCATATGCATCATCATTATAGGATATTTCTAGCTGGATTAACACAATGCAGGTGTGTTTAACCCTAACCCATCCTATTTCCACAATTTCTACAGTTATGAAAACTCAGCAAAACTCTCTTAAAAACGCCACAAACTTTATTTGACAAAATGCAGCTGTATTTAACAGTGACCCATCCTCTTCTCCTACAGTTGTTACAACTCAGCAGAACTTCCAGCAAACAGCCACAAACTCTGACATAACTCATCAAGCATGCAATCTCTCCAGTGGTGTAGAGGTACAACAGATTTCTGTACAAACAAGCACGAAATGTTAGCAAAGCTTTGTTAAGTTTAACCCTTAAAGTCTCATCTTCCATTTTTCTCCAATAGCCTTCGCTGATGCCAATGTCACAGATATTTGGCAGCCCAACGATTCCTACAGTTAAAGATGTCACAGTGACGAACACAAACAAATCAAGTACTGTTTTTAACTGATTCCTTTAGAAATGTAACTATATATAGATAAGATTAAAAGCAGCTTGTTTGATCCTTATCAACTTTTTTTTCTATACAGTGTTTGAAACTCCCCCCCATCTCAGTACAACTCATCAAAACACCAACAACGTTCGTAGAGCGCTCGATTTCTCCACCGGTGCACAGCAGGTACAACAGGTCTCATGTCTTTTAAATGTCACTTCTTTTATAGATCCATTGCAGCCTGAAATGTATACTATCTTTGGGTCTAGCTTGGAGTGCAGTTGGACTGGGAACTTCCAACAACCACAGCTCAGGAAACTGCCTTCCAATTAAAGGAGAGAGAAAGGGAGAGGGAGAAGGAGATGGAGAAAGAGAGGGAGGCTCAAAAACTACAAAAGGTACTTAACTTTAAAGTATACAATGTTTAATTAGACAAAACTAGCAGTATGAAATGTTTGCCTATTGTCAGGTCTGTAGATTCACAACTATGGTCTAGTCTTAAAGGTCACCTATTATGCAAAATCCACTTTTTCCTGTCGTTTATACATAAACATCCATTTATATAAAAACCTGTCTGAAAATGAGCTGATCAGATTTTGGCCACCTTATGATGTATATATCTGAGACCTTTAATATATTGATGAAAAACAGTATAATAGAGGACCTTCAACTAGTCTCAAATGAAGCTTCATGAAATGTGGTACTGATATCCACGGTGCCCACAGGAAGAATCCTACAGCCATTGGTAGAACTTTGACTTTTGATGTAACGCTATCCATATCTGGTATATGAGAAGTGAAAGTAGTCAGTGTTTGAGCCGTGTATTCATATGAAAGCTGCTCAGTAGCACAGAAGACTAACACTGACACCGTAAACGCGTTAGCTAAATGTTTGCACCAGTAATTATTCAATTGTTTCAAACTCATAGGCTTCCATACAAACACATTTGTTTTTGCAACCTTTGTTGTCACCCCCTACTGGCCATTTGAAAGAATACCTGTTTAAAGAATTTAGCAGTCATCACTTTTCGTACCATGATATCAAGGATTATTGGTACCGTTTTTAAACATCTACAAGATGCATTGGCCAAATTTCTATTGAAGACATTTCTGGTCACTAGATGTTATATCCTTGGGCCATCGGTGTTTCCCAGTTCCCATCTTCTAGTGCCACCAGCAGGTGCATATTTGTTGTTTTAAGGTATTGTCCCATGAGCTTCGGATGGGTTTAAATGACAGTTATGCTCCCCTCAGCTTTTATTGGACCTTACTGTATTGGCAATCTAATAAAAGTACTTTGTGTCTTTATTCAAGATGAGGCAAGACATGATAAGGGCTGATTTACAGCAGAACATTCAGACAAGAGAACAGAAGATTTCTGAAGTCAAATCATCTGTAAAAGCCTGCAAGGTGAGCCGAAGCAGATTATTTAAATGTTCTCCTGTCATTAAGGTTTTTTTCAACATCCTCATCATCCGTTACTCTTTTCAGGGCGGCTTGGATGCCGAATGGCTGGAGATCAACAGCGTTTTCTCAGAGGTGATGAAAGTCGTGGAGGACTCTCGGAAGAAAGCCCTTCAACCTCTGGAGGAGAGGTGTGTGGCTCAGTAAATATCGCAGTGATTTATGACATTAACTGCACCAATGTTAAGGTAATCAATACATGAAACTGCCTATTGTTACTATATGTTATTCTAGGAGAAAGAGAGTGAATAGAGAAGGACTACATCTGGTCAAGAAGCTGCAGAATGAAATTGACAAAATCAGGAAGACCATTGATGAGTTGGACAAAAATGCCGACTTGCAGGTAAGACATCCAAGTTTTTTGCATTTTTCTATCATTTAAACAATTCATTTGGCCTCTATAATGCTAGATGTCAGTATGCATGGACAATATCCAGATCCAGGGGACACTAAAAGGTTTATACTGAGAATCTGACATTTATCCCACAGGGTCTTCCTAAAACATTCCTGGATGAATCTCGAGATTGGAAAAATGTCACTGTTGACACTTCATTCTCCTTTGGGTCACTGAGAACTACAATATCAAGCATGATGGAACAAATTCACCAGGAACTGGAAAAACTCTCTTCTGTTGGTATGTTCTTGACGTTGAAACGTGAAAACTCAAGCACCATTGCTTTCTTTGTGTTTCGTAAATAATCAAACAAGAATGAAGATGTTTTTCTTATTCTACAGGCGTTACATTTAAAGCCAACACCTATTAATTTCCTATTACATATAATGTAATGTTTTTAAATCATAGTAACAATATTTCTCTTCCCACAGAACTCAAGAGGATTCCCACCTTTGCAGGTGTGTGACCCAGAATATTAAGAGAAAATGTCAATAATTAAACATTGTAACCTAGTCATGGTTTGAAAGAAAACACCTCCAGGCACTCACAGAAAAAAAAAGGTTACATGGCTAGTTCATGGCAATAAACAAAGTAAATGGTCAGGTCTTCTTCAGAGTAGCAAATAAAGAGACAAGACCCGAGCCTGATTCTTTTATGCAATCATTCAGGGCTGCTTCCTCGTTGGGTAACATGGTCAACTGGTGGGAGATAATCAGCGTCATTCAGGGGGTGCTCCCCAAAGATTTTACCAACCGAAATAAATGAAACTACAAGAAACAAATCAAATAAGGATACACATTGTTATTTGCAAAGAAAAAATGATGTTTCACAATAAAAATACTATGAGGAAATGTACTCTACAGTATGTGGCAGAAACATGTCCTCAACCTACTTTAAGTGAATGAAATTCCTTCAAGACAAAAATATTTGTTAATTTCAAAATGAATAGGACATTTGCAACTGTCAACTTACCCCACCTTTGACCACTATAAACTGTACATTATATTGTCTTGATGCACAAAAAGGATGGACTTTCTCCACACATATGTGTAATGAAATGTGTACAGATGTTTATTGAGGATATTGCATGGATAAAACAATGACCCATTTGTGAACAAACCTCCAGAGAAAAGCCTTTTTGACTTAAAAACTTAATGGAATAAACAGATTATCCTGGCCTAAATGAAGAAATGTATCGTTACATATGTATTTAAACATAGATATCTTTGTATTTTATTGAGTGACCAGGTTTATATTTGTATTGGATTCGTTTTTTGTTTGTGAAATCTTAAGAAGGTTCTCTCAGCATAACTCTGGTTATCTCCCACCGGTTGACCCAATTTCCAATCAGGACACAAACCTGAGTGATTGCATAAAAGGATCAGGTGTTGCCTCCATTGGCAACTTGCAGCAGATCTGTTGAATGGTTGAATTCAGTTTCATCAGCATTTGTTTGTTGAGTGCATTTCATGTCTGACCCACTGAGCATACCCCTCCTTTTTTGGTAAAAACATTTTCCACAAAGAAACTCTTTTCAGTCTTAAAGTTGGACTTTTTTATCACATAACTCTCCACTTAGTCACTAGAGGCATTTTCTTAAAAAATGTAACCTATGTGTTTTGTTGGTAGGACTATGAACAAGATGTGACCTTAAAAAAAGATTTGGTCCATTCTTGTAGAGCAATATTGTGGAAGTTATACATTTTAAAGCTCTATTCTTCTCAAACCTTTCAAGACTTCTTAATATTTGCTTTCTTTATGAAGTAGTTATACTTGATTATGACAAGTTAAAATTAAAAGCATCAGCATGTAGTTTATGTCATCCATATGAAGTGCATGATGACCCTATTTCTATTTATCTCCTCAACCACAGTGGATGTAAGGCTGGACCCAGCCACAGCCCACCAGTGCCTTGTGCTTTCCCCCGATGGAAAGACAGTTAGAGATGGAGGAAATGACCAAAAAGTACCCGATGCTCCGCAGAGGTTCGACATGTTCGGCAGCATCCTGGGGCTCAACAGGTTGACTTCTGGGAAGTCATACTGGGAGGTGGAGGTCACTAACAAGTCGGGGTGGGACCTGGGTGTGGCACGACGCAATGCAAATCGCAAGGGGAAACTCTCGGTGAACTCGGAGAACGGTTACTGGGTAGTCGTGCATTACGAAGACAAAAAGTACGCAGCCCTGACAGTACCACCAGCCAGCCTCCCCCTGAAAGAGAAACCTGAAAAGGTCGGAGTGTTTGTGGATTACGAGGAACGTCTCGTGTCCTTCTACGATGTGATGGCTCAATCTCACATCTACACGTTTACCGAGTGCATGTTCAGCGATGTGATTCTTCCATATTTCAGTCCACATCCTAAACAAAATGAAAAAAACTCCCATCCTCTGATTATCTCTCCTGTGAAGAAGCAGTTGTAGTTATATGAAGTGAATAGTTACCGGTGCACTAAAAGTTAAAATGCACCACTCAATGTAAATATCAGTTCAGGTGTACATGATATTTCATGACACTACCAAAGGGTTTGAATCTAGGGTTTTGGCCTGGCCATCTGAGATTGTCTCGATTAGTTATATGTGTTAAATAGTTTGAATTTAAACTTTGAAAACGATTAGTGTGTGTACCTACATTATCATTAATGATATTTTAATAATTTCTTAAACCTTGAAAAATCAGTAACAATTTGTTCACTTCGGTGACTTAAAGGTCACCTATTATGCAAAATCCACTTTTTCATCTCTTTTGTACATCAACATGTGTCCCCTCTGTGGAAAGAGACTCTTGAAGTTTCAGGAAAAAAGATTCTCTCTCTTTTTGTCCTGATCCATTTATATAAAAACCTGTCTGAAAATGAGCTGATCAGATTTTGGCCACTTTATGATGTCATAACGATTTTTTGGCTTGTGTAACTATTAGCCAATAACCAACCAAGGCAACCTCCACCGCTCCCGCCCACCTTATCACCTGAATCTCCTCCTAGAGCACCATTGTGTGTGGGGAGTGGCTCCTTATTTTAATCTAAAGTAACAGACAGAGAATCAGCTCTTTTGAAGGTACATTTTTGAAGTTACACTTTTTATATCTCGTTCGTTTCTAACTATACATTTTAACTGAATGGAGAATTTCTGTTATCAGACATGTGTATCTTAAGCTAACAGACACACTAGCTAAGCTAACATTAGCAGGAGCAGAATAGCATCCGAAAAAAACAATTTTTTAACTTCAAACTACTCAAACTCAAACTTTAATCTGTGTTTCCATCGGTCATTATAACAAGGACTGTTTATTGTTTAGAGTAGGAGACCCTATACAGACCAGTTCACTCGCTTTTAAATCCTCCTGAACAGGATCCTAGAATTATCAGACAAACAGAATAAGCTAATGTTAGCGGTTAGCTTGCAACCACACAGATGGATTTCATGTTTTGTATGCAAAATCCACATTTTAGCTGTCAACTGCTTCGACTAAAAAGCATAACATTCATCAAAAGGTTAAATGAAGTACTATGCAATAGAAAATGTACTTGTTTACATTCTACCACTTATCTTTACTTGATATAACCCCTAACTCTTGCACACTGTATTTTCTTTATTTTTTAAATTGCATTTTACAGATCCTTTTTTGTAGTTCCAGATTATCTGTTACACCACCATGCATGACTCTCTCTACATATAACTATTGACGGTTATAACTAAATGTTTTATGTTATTAAGCGAGAAGACATTATTACAAGTTATATTTGGGAAACTTTTATATATCTCTTCAGGGGTCTTGTAAAAACCAAAGCAATAAAACATGATTTACGTTGTATTTGTTGATGTACAAAGGTCCTTTAAAGAGAAGTGGTCTCAGTCCGGTCGACTTCGAGCTGACATTACTACCAAATTAAGTCATTTTAAGGAAGGCATTTTAAGACTCTTTATTTTATTTGACTAGGAACAGTCTTGTGTGTCATTACATCAAGAATGTCATAGTGATGGGTATATACATTTAAAAATGTGTTTTATGTCTTGTAATTGCATTGAGAAAAAAAAACCTGGCACATACCTATAGAAGCTTACGTTTGTTATTATAATTTACTCAATATGATTTTAATAGGATACTAAATACTTGTGAATCATATCAGTGTCATTAGCATCGGCGTAGCTAGTGGATCGCAGGAGCTGTTAGATTAACATTAACATACTTATAGTAGTTGTAATTGCGGCCTGTGACACCATGGAGCATATGTGTGGGCTCGAAAGGAGTGAGCAGAGGGTAGAGTTGTCGATTCTTGTTCTGTTTTCTGTGACTATCTTCCTCACCATGCTGAACACCCTCTCAGAATTTCAGTTGCGCGCACTACTAAAGAGACGCGCTGCCATGGAAACCAAACAATGGTGTAGCTGTATTAAAGTCCGAGTGGAAACAGTCGTGAGTAAATCTGATTTTGTCAGAAATCTGGAGAAATGCGGGAGAAATATGACCCCGGGAGGAAACCGGGAGAGTGCAATGAAATCGGGAGTCTCCCGCGAAAATCGGGAGGGTTGGCAAGTATGGTAGCACGTAGCTTACAGATCGTTGGATCGGCAATATTTTATTATTATTGCAGTCTGAAATCACAAAAGCTTTTACATATATCGCAGCAAAAACCGGCACTTACCTATAGAAGATTACGTTTGTTATTATAACTTACTCAATATGATTTTAAAGGATACTAAATACTTGTGAATCATATCAGTGCCATTAGCATCGGCGTAGCACGTTGCTTACAGATCGTTGGATCTGCGATATGTTATGATTATTACAGTCTCAAATCCAAACTTTATAAAAGATAGCGCTACAAAAACCGAGTTTAGATAAAGACAATTGCGTTACTTGGAACTAAATAGGAGAATAAATACTTGTGTTATCACCTCTGGCGTAGCTTTATAGCCTTCACACAGATCGCCATTACAGCACTATGTCTGAACATGTTAGCAAATGCCTGATCATTTAAATAAAAGCAAAGACTGCTGAGCTTACAAAATTAAATACAATTTTACAAAAATATATAAACATCCAACCGATTACTGTCGATGTTTGGGTTAGAAAAAAGGCTACATTGATAACAGTGGCGGTGCCAGAGATTTTCTTTTGGGGGTGCTGTGGGGTAGCTTGACGTTTCATAGAGGGTACTCAAACATGTAGGGTTTCACATTAAGGTACCGGGCGCTACAGTGGAATGTTCTACTCCCCACATGCACATACACAGTACACCCACGACTGTTACAATGAAGGCTCGATAGTCAGCTCACTGCATATAGGTGTTCTTTATGGATATTTTACAAATCATTCCCCTTTTAAACTAAATTCTTGTTTTACTGTCATATAGTATTTCATAACTGTTTTTCATGTATTCTCTTATTTTTTTTATAACTATAATGATCATATGAAGGTGTGCCTCGGAAATAATCTGTTACATAATTCGTGACCAAACCGTTTGAGACCCACTGAGATAATTTAGACTAAAGTTAACTATCTAAACACTCAGAGAGTCCTTTAGCTCACTTGAGCCTCTCAGTCTGACAGGAGAGGACTCTCCTCCAGCTTGTTGTGGAAACAGCTTCTTATATCCGTTAGTGCAGGCAGCTAGCTAACCAGATGCTAACAACACGGTCCCTGCTTGCACCGGTGCGCTCTCTCTCTCTCTCTCTCTCGCTCGCTCAATCACACTAAATGTGCTATTGTCCCACACACACAGAGCCAATCTTGAATGAAACACAGAGACCCAGAAGTACTTGCACTGTAGCATATTCGATGTGAGGGTCTAAGGACAGAGGGTGTCGTTTTTCTCATACTGATATTCTGAACAAACTGTGCTGTTGTATTTGCTGTAAAGCAGGCATCCTCAAAGTCCGGACTCCGGTCCGGATCCGGACCGAACCACAACTGTCTCTGGACTCTGAGCAAATTATACTTTTCATATGTATTATCTGTATTATCTGTGTTATCTGCGAGACATCGCCACAACGCAACGAGTCAAAATTCTCCGCTATGTCCACTGCATACAGCGCTCTGCATGTCAGACGGTTCCACTGTCTGTGTGTGTGTCTGTCAACGCTTTTGTCCAATCACATTCAGCATCCCGTCAGCGTTTTTTCCCCCCACCAACAGTCTGCGAATAAGAGGCACAGTAGTCTTCGCGGAATGCGGGTGGGAAAAATGCGTGTGTCGTCTCTTTCAACCTATCTGAGTCAGAGCGAGAGTTTAAAAAAAAAAAAGTCAGAGCGAGAGTTAACAGCTCATTTAGTTGCATCTGTACTGTAGCTAGTAGCCTAGTTTCACCTACCGGGGTGGCATGGGGTGGCAACTGCCACCCTAAAAATAGGCCTTGCCACCCCAGCTGCCACCCCAGTTGGCAGCTTTGTTTTGAAAGAAAAGTTGTGGCTCATCTGACATTTATGAGAGAAAGTCTCTAATGTCCAAGTGCAAGTGAATGCAGCACAAGATGCACGTTTTGTAACCCCTCCCCTGGCGCGAGCGTGGAAATATGATTGGCGGAGATTTCATTTGAACGGGACGGCGCAAAAAGAGAAGCATTCGGACCAAGCGGCAAACTCTGGGGAAGAGCCGGGACGCCAATACGGAAGTGCCACAAACTGCAGTTCATATATTGGCCGATAGGCGATGACTGCAGAAAGGAGCAATTTCCATAGACCCCAATGTTAAAATGCTCAATTTCACAGCAGAATAAAAACGTTTCTAGCCCTGGCTCCAATACATTTTATTATGTATATAGTTAGATTCCACCTTCGTGATTATGAATCTGTGAGTGAATTGTTTTCTAACGCGACCCTTTTATTTATATTAGGTCTTAAAGTTTTTGCATAAATTAGGGCGTGGTCACTTTGATGGACAGGTACGTGCCTCACTGTCAGCTAACAGCAATTTGTCCACTCTGCTAGGCTACAACGTTAGTTAGTTGTAGTTGCTGTACTTGACCCTTTAGCCGTGTTCGTGGTGATTGTGCCTTTTAGGGAATATTGTTACAAATACCAGACAATTAAAATGTCGTGCTGTGCGCTTGAATGTACTAACAGACCTTCCAAGAAGTCTACTCTCAGCTTTTTTCGGTGAGTAAAATGATAATATTATACATGTTAATCCCGTTAGCAGGTGTTTGTGTGCTTGTTAGTTTAGCTTGTTATGTAGCTTGTTATGTAGCTTATTATGTAGCTTATTAGCCAGCTAAGGACGTAACCCTTTATACATGTGTATATATATATATACAGTTTAGTTTATGATTCAGCCTTTTATAGTATATGGCTGTGACGCCCATAATGCTAAACGGGAGCAAATGTTAAAAGGGGACCCAATTATCCCAGTGGTGGCCGCCGGAGTCCACGCCGGCGGAGTCCGGCATTATAACTGGAGATCAAGGTATGCAGCGAAACGCAGACTTGGTTCGCCTGCAGCCCGCTGTAGTATTAGCTAAATAAATTATGTTGAACAAGGCTTATTAAGCTGAACATCGCCACAATTGTTCTGCTATGTATCGGTACTTATTTTATTTTATTAACGTGTGAATGACAAGCATTAAACATAACAACAAATAGCTCATTATCTTGCAGATTGTCTCGTTTGATTATGAATGTAACGTTTATATAGTGGAACTACACTGTTTTATCAAAACCAAAGTGCCACGCAGTAACTTGGTATGCATGTATTTCAGCAGGAAATGTGCAACCTAGATGACATTTACCAACACAGACTATATAGAAATATTTGTAAAAGTTGTTCATGTGTTATTAAGTGAATATGGCATTAACCCTCCTGTTGTCTTCGGGTCAAATCTGACCGATTTACTACTTTCATCAATCATAACTTTTTTGTTTTACATTCGATTGCATTAAGGATTTATGATATCCTTCACAGTAGACATTTGAACATATAAAATTGCTGATTGACCTTGTCGTGGTGAGTGGGCTTTAAACTAAGACGGGTCATACTGAATAGTCTGTGCACACATTTTTAACATGTGATCTTTCTTTCATGTAGGACGCTTGAGGGAAGTTGCAACGCCTCGGCCAATGTGATGTCTTCCCCACGTGAAAGAGATTGAAGGCATAATTTATAACTTGAGACAATTTTCCAAAAGTTATGACTTTTATTGGCTTAGGTAGTAATGGATTACATCCAACACGAATCAAGATCGTATAGAAAAAAAGGAAAGTGTAATCCTTAGTTACATGGGAAAAGATGTAATCGGATTAGTTTGACTTTTTTTAATAATAGGGAAACTCAGGATTACAATCTTATTCAAAACCTGAAAAGAGCATATAGTGTTTGTTGTAAAATGATCAGATGTTCTCTCTTCTCTGGAAGCGGTACTGTTCTGTAGGCTAATACTTTAATTGTGAATCTATACACCTACTGCCTGAGTCAGCTTTATGTATATTATACATTTAAGTAAAAGAATCATATTAATATTTCTTCTCTCCTGTGTTTATTTGCATTGCATTTGATATTGAGGTAATCCAAAAGAAAAATAAAGTTATCAGGTTACAGTACATTAGTTTTTATATCTTGATACTCACATTAAGTTACTGGTTGCGTTTTTGGCAAGTAGCCCTCCCAACCCTGTACATAAGTTACATCATTTTAATTACTGATACAGTTGTTGCACATCTTTAATTTATTTTCTAGTGTACTTAAGTCGTACATTTTCAATGTGAAATAGATCGGATTAAATATAGAGTAAAAGCACAATCTTAAATTATACATTTATAATTTTCCTATGCTTATTGTTAATGTAGTGGTGTTATAAACAAAATGTTGTCGTAAAGGAA